TTGGTGGAGCTAGGACCCATCCAAAATTTGGAGTATTCTTGTTTGCCTTTTTCCTTTTTTTTTTGTTCAGATTATATTTAGTAAGCCACTTTGGAGCCTCGTTTGGGAGAGAAGCAGGGTAAAGGACTTTAAATAAAAATAAACAAATAAACCTGCCTGTGCTTAAGTGACTTTGCCTCCCAGTTGTTCTGCTCTTCTCAGTGTACATGCAAAGAGAGGCAGAACCGTTGCTCACTGCATGTGCACACTAACAGCAGTTCCTTCCAAAGCTGCAGCTGTGTTGGAGCATGAAAGAAGAGGTTTCCCTGGTCCACCTGAGGGTCCCAACTCATGGACTGAAAACCGGTAGAGTAAGGGTTGTTTAGAAAAATAAAACAGAAGTCCAGTGGCACATCAAAGACTAACATTAATTCCAGATTATATCGAATAAAATACAAGTCTGTTTTGGAATACAAAAGAATTCTGTAATCTATATATATAAAAGAAAGTCCCCTCACCGTTAAATCAACGCCCAGGCCAAACCACTAGACCTAGAGATACCAAATTCGGGGAGAGCGCTCCCATCATGGCGTAGGAGCTCGCTAAGAAGGGATTTTTAGAAATTCGACCCCTAAGGGGGGGGTCAAAGGTGGTAAAATGTGCTCCCCCCATTGATTCCTATGCGGCTGCCAGGCATCTGCCTACTTGCACCCCCCACTGTCTGATTGGTTAGCTGCAGAGCTCATTGTTCTGAGGTAAAGAAAACCCCACAGTTACAGAGGACTGCATAGAGCTAATGACAGTTGAGGAAATCAGGAGTGGCCAAGAACCACCTGTGTGGTGAAGCAGAGCTGCTGGCCCAGCCTGATGGCTTCCAACACACTCCCCCCACCTCCTACACCTAACAGGCGATTGTCTGTCAGGTGCAGCCCCACCTCCACAGTTGCTTCTAATACTCCTCCCCCTCCTACACTGGACATGCAGCTGCCTGTCAGGTGTAGGAGAGGAGGTGGGATGGCTACCAACACACTCCCCCCACCTCCTACACCTAACAGGCGGTTGTCTGTCAGGTGTAGCAGTGGTTGCAGGGTACTTTCAAGCATGGTAATGGATGCCATAGCACCTGAAATTTCCAAACTGAAGGACTCAAGGGAGGTGAAACACTTTTTATATAATATTCCATGTAAAGGAGTTGGGCTGCAAAGAATTACTTTGTGCATGCCCAGTGGGGTTTTTTCTTTGAAATCAACTCCCTCATACCATTTTATAAGTGGCTTGTCAAGTGGCATAGGAGCATGGTGTTCACCAAAGAACAAGTCCAAAGCTGCCTTAAACGCACAGAACGATTAGTGTGTTTCTTTGGATACCTCTATACGGTATATAGTATAAAAAGTTTTATGGCTTGTTATGCCCAGAAATGTATTGAATGTTTTTACTACACTGACTAAAGTCTGATTTTATTTTGATCTGTTAACCATTCTGAATTTTTATAATGGTAAAAAGGCATCACAAGATCAGAATTCTTGATTCTGATAACTTTTCTGCAAAGAATTGATATTTCCTGTTTGGGATACAAGTTTTAATGTGTAGAGTAGCTGCTTTAGAAGAGTATGAGAATTCTATAACATAGCTTAAAATAATAAGATTTTACAAGCAAACATCTTAATTTTGCATGTGTTAAATTATATGTTGTGAATTCATTTCTGTGTGTATCCAGTTAATGTTTCTTTTTGCTTGGTTATGTGCCCCTATAAACTATTGCTGTTAGTCCAATATACTCATAGGGATCTATGATCTAGTCTAAAAGAACTTGTGTCCACCATTTTGGATATACTTCTTATGAGAAGCACCTGCAGCACTGTTTGAAGCTTTTTAAAACCTTGACTTTCAAATACAAAAGCCTGTCTGAACATAGGCAGTGTTCAAAAAGACTTTGAAATGTGAAACTAAGCTTGCAAAGCTTCAAAGCCAACTGCGGGGACTCTTCTTTTAGGAGTACCAACTCCAAGACAGTGCGAGCAAGCCTCCTGGTGACCGTTTTTAGGGATTTATTTTCAATTTGAAAATACTTTGAACTCTGCTTAGGTTTTGGTAGGCTTTTGTAATTGAAAATGTTTCTGTGTAAGCTTCAAAAGCAGCACCAGGAACTTCCTTGTGGAATATGTTTTGGATTTGTCTTCCATAGGAGCAAAGCTCATTGGCTGCTTTCACAGCTATTAAGCTTCTGCTCTATTTTTATTAAAATGGTATTTGATTGTTGTAGGAAATTAAGATTGTTATAACATTACATTTCTCATCCTTTTTAAAGATTAAAGATGCTCTGTGAATTGTGAAGCATGTTTAAAAATGCTTTGAGTGTGTTGATTTCTATGTATGCATTTGTATAACACACGCGTACACATTATCAACAACGTTAGTGTGTCTAAGCAGAATTTAATGTGATATTCTAGTGTGCTAGTGTGGAAGCTATTCTAGTTTACACTGTGTGCATGCGCGCACACACAAACAGGTGTCCATACAAACACATAGGAATATGAGGAAGTTTGTGTTAAAATGTGTGTCAAATTAAAGCCTGTGTGGTATAATTGCCTGAGCCTCATGACATGTTACGCCATCTTGGTTAATAATCACTGAGTGCACTTTAATCGGAAATCGTTGATTGTTTAAATGTTTTAAATGTTTTAACAGTGTTAAATGTTTTAAGTTTTAAATGTTTTGACTGTATATGAACCTTGGCACACTGTGCCAGGCAATGTGAGCCGCCCTGAGCCCGCTTGCGGGGAGGACGAGTTATAAATACAATAAATAAAGTGTCGTACTAGGATCTGGGAGACCCAGGTTCAAATCCTCACTCTGCCATGGAAGCTTTCTGGGTGACCTTGGTCCAGTCACTTTTTTACAGTCTGACGTACCTAACAGGACTCTTGTGAGGATAAAATGAAGGAGGGAGAACAATGTTTTAAGCCACTTTGGGTCTCCATTGGGGAGAAAAGTGGGGTACTAATGAAGTAAAATAAATAAAGTAAAGTAAAAGGTTTGATTCATATGACTGAATCCAGCTGTAAAATATATAAGAGAAATTAACTACTAGGAAGAGATAATTAGGGTTCTTTCGTATGTTTCTGTAGTATCCATAATTTCTTTCCAACTACAACAATCATGGAAATTGCTGCCAGCTATTCTGTGTTTGTAACTGTGCCAACCTCCTATTGGGGAGGACTAGGTTTCTCTTTAAATTATACTGGGTGTTTATAAAATAGGTAGTTCCAGCTGCCACCAGGAACTTTCTTAATTCCAAATCCACTCTCAGCTTCTTATATTGGTATTGTGACCCAGGGTCTAGGCTTTCAAGGGTCTCTGTGGTCCTGAGTAATAATTGTTATGACTTCTGGGATTAATTTAAATAAGAGAGGATTTATTGAAAGGGGAACAAAATAAGAGGTTGGTTATTATGTAACTGGTTGGGAATAAGGTCCCTGTAAATGAGCTTGTCAACTGTATCACTTTAATACACGTATACTGATCCTTCTCAGATCCCACACAGATTCTTTCACCTCTCTCACTGACTGAATTTGCACTAAACTACTTCAACTGCTTTTTTCCAACTGTCTCTCCTAACTCTGACTTTCATACTTAACTTTCATAACTGACTAACTCTCACTCACACATATCCACTTTAAAAACTCCTCCCACACTCTCTCATCCTCCAATCACAGCACACTTGTCTCTCTCAGTCACTCTACTCTGCATTCACTGCATCGCAACCAAACATTTAAAGAGACACACACACTCTTAAAACAAGGAATTGTTACAGTAACCAAATCATAAAGTAGGTTTGTTCATTTTGTCTGAAGACCAAGATTGCTTGTGCTACACTTCATAAATGAGCTTCTATTTTTCAATTAAAGTTTGGTGAAAGGTGGGGGGGTTTGCCTGTATAGATTGGAATGTTACATTTATTTATATATCCATGTCTAATTGATCAGAGTGTGAATTATGCACATGTAAATGAGTGCAAATTGAATTCTGATCAGAACAAATGAGGAAAGCATGTTCTTTTAGTTGTATAAATTAGTCATAACTTGAATTTTAAAGTTAAATTCCCATTTTTCTTCCAGTTTTCGAGATAATTATGCTACCCTGAATAAATAAAAAAAAAATCAGTCTTAAGTCAGTTTTCTATACCATAGGTAAGACAAAGCTGGCCAGTGGGGAAAAGTAATGATTATAGACACAAAAATATTTTACATTACAAGAATGTTTTGTATATTTAGCATTTCAAAGTACTGTTTTTCGCTGGCAGCCTCTAAGTTTTAACTGTATATTTGTTGGATTGGGTTGTATGTGTTTGCAATCTTAAGGTTTTACAACTGCTTATATACTTGAGTTTACATAATGCTAGTTATGTGCCTTTTTAACATGAGGTTGAAATCATGAATGTAAGCAGAAGATACATTTAAGGGTTCATACATATTATGGCTTATATGATAAATTATGTCTTGAGCCTATTAAGTTATTAAGTAATTGTAGTGCAAGATGTCCTTAAGGAGAGCTATGAATCCCTTTGCATGAGATAAGGAGTTTTAAGATACTAGTTTGCTTTATTTATTAGTATAGAGAATGGTGTTTTGTTTTCCAAACAAAAAAATTAATCAATATGGGTAGCCATGTTAGTCTTCTGTAGCAGTAGAAAAGAGCAAGAGTCCACTAGCACCTTAAAGACTAATAAAAGTTGTGGCAGGGTATGAGCTTTTGTGAGTCACTGCTCACTTTTTCAGATATCTGAAGGAGTGAACAGTGACTCACAAAAGCTCATACACTGCCACAAATTTTGTTAATCTTCAAGGTGCCACTTGGACTCTTGCTCTTTTCTACTAATAAAAATTGATGTTGAAAAAATAAAATTAAAAAAAAATAAAAATTTAGTACATAATGGCTAACAGTAACTGGTATTGTTTTAGAGAGAACTGTTTTCTTCAGGGAATGCATCTAAACATACACTGTTGCTTCCTCTTCCTTAGCAAAATTTACTGAAGAATGAACAAAACCAAGAAGAAATCATTCTTCACTTCCTTCTGGATCTCTCCAGTCAGTGTGGTGTCCTATTTCCCTGTACCCCAAGTGGATCATCTTTTGAGTTTACGTCCAATATTTCCCTTCATGGCATTGAAGATGATTCAGCAATGGATGTTCATTGTATTTGGGATGATGTAAGACTACATCTTCGGCGCTTCTTAGTAAACCAACTGCAAAGTCACCATGAAACAAAAATTGGTACTTTACAACAGCAATTACAATTTAAAACTCAGTGCCTACAACAACTTTTATTTCTTTATCCTGAGTCAGAAGTTATAGCCAAGTATCAAAACATGCAGAATAAATTGGTTAGTGATCTTCTGCAGAAATATGTTCTAGAAAGCAATGGAGAAGCAAGCTTAGAAAAGGTGGTCAATGGTTATGAAAGTTCCATTCCTACTTTGTGTGCAATGATAAAAGAAGATTTGTATATACTAGGTGGATTGATTGATCCCTCTTCCACACTGAAGTTTATTAATGAATCTTATTTGGATACCATCACAGAAGAAATTACCATTCTCCTTGAAAAACTTTGTGAACTTCAGTTCAAGCAAAATGCATTATATGGTGTTAAGACAAGCAAGAGCTCAAAGAAACAGAAAGAAGTAGCCCAAGACTGGGGTTAGTGACTTTTTAATTTTACTTCTATTACTAAATTTACTTGCCTTATTCTTTTCTTTTGCATTTGGTTGATAATTTATTATTCCAGTATTGGATGTAATTCAGTGAAGGGCTTGTATAGTTATATGACACTTAAAAACCCTAAGTAGCAAAGTGCACGTGACATGGTCTGTCAGACACGTAAGACTGAACTTGGTAAGTCTGGACATTACTGTGGCATGGATCCAAGTGGCATAGGGTCTGACAACTTCCCCTAGACCTACTGGAGATAAAAAAAACTTTGAAGAGAGGTTTGAATCCTTGCAGAATTGGGAAATGGCAGCAAGGGTTACAGGAATGTTTGCAGAAGCTTCACCAAATATCACCTTGTTTTGAAGCTGGAGAAGATGTTGGCCAAATGAGTATGAGTAGTATGAAAAAGCGGGAAGAGGAACCTGTTAGTACAAAGGCATACAGCTTAGAGAGATCAAACAGGACCAGGGAGCAAAGGCTGAATGGGCAATAGTAAAGATGAAGATTGGGATCCAAAGCAGTTAATCTGCTTGCTGATGGGAATTTTTTGCTAATGGGAACTTTTCAGTTGAGTTCGGGGTCCTTTGTGTTACAAACGTAGAAGAAAGACAGTCCATAGTGAAATCCAAGTCAGATGACCTTTGGATCAAAGGCAGATGACAGTTCTCCCTGCAAGGAGGCATCTTGAATAGCTGACAGAGCAAGACTTTGAAGTTGCTGGCCCCAGGTTCTGGGTTTGAGCCCCCACAGTACTTGGCACCAGGGGTCATGCGGGAGATGCCATCCCCCCGGATGAGGTGCGGGAGGGCGGGGTCTGGAGCTCCCTGCTGGTGCCCGCTGGAGGTCGCCGCCGGCTGTGGGGAGGAGGCGGGGCGCGCTGCGTTGTGCGCGGACGAGCGAGCAGGTTTCCCAGCCGCCTCCCGGCTTCGCCTTTCCCGTCACGCTCGGTGCAGCAAGCGGGCGGCTGAGCGTGGGGGAAGCTGCTGCCACCAGAAGC